GAAGTTTTTCATTTAAACAAAAAAAAAAAAAAAAGGAAAAACCGTTAAATTTTTCCAACCGTTTTTCCCCCTTTTTCCTACTTAAACGTGGAAAGAAAAAGAAAATTTAAAAAAAAAAAATTCATTTTCTTATTTAAAATTTACGCACGCACGCACTCACTCACGCACACACATATCATTACTAACACGCATAAACCCCGTCGTACAACAATCGACGAATAGCAATACAAACAAACAAACAAACATCGTAAACCCCTCCCCTCTCCTCCTCTCCGCCCCGCAACAAACAATATACATGGAAAATTTTTTCTTTTCCAAAATTTTCCCCTCACGTATTAATAACTCCGTTTCTTTAACAACAACAAAAAAATTTCATCCGGGTTAACCGATATTAATAATAATATGGGGAGCAACAACAACGTAAGTAAGCATAAACATCAAAAGCAGAAAACATCAACGAAAAAAAAAAAAAAATCGTCTGCACAAAACTCTTTCAACCGTAACGTTTCTTTCTTTAAAGAAAATTAAATCCATTAACAAAATTCTTATCAACATAATTAATCAAGTGAAAAATAAAAAAAAAAAAACAAAAAAAAATCAAGTCAAGAATGAGGATACGCAGTTATAAGGAATGAATGAATGAATGAATGGAGGAATGGAAAAGCAGAAGAAAAAATTAAAAAGAAAATTTTAAACCTGATAATAAAAAAAAATTGAATTTACGACACCTTCTTATCATTAAAAACGCACACACACGCACACGTACTGATAACAATTTTTATTTTATCCATTCATTAATTTATTTACATGATAATAATAATAATAATTTATTAATTAATAAAGCGGATTTTGATTGATTAATAAATAAATTGATAACGCACGCGTGTCTTTATCACACGTTATCATTAATAATAATAATAATAATGAAAAGAAAATTTTATATTCGATTACAAAAAAAAAAAAAAAATTTATTAATCGATCGATCGATCGATGGATCGATATATCGTTTTGAATATTTTTGTTTTTTTTACGCACCGACTGATTCGTAACACGTATGTCGAAGTGCGGTGAGGAGGGGGAGTGCGGTGGGGGAGTGAAGAAGAAAAAGGAAAAAAAAGGACAAAACGAAAAAAAAAGAAAATTTTTAGAAAATTCAATTTTCCATCGTTTTTTTTTTTTATTTTTTTTAAAATTAAAAACGAGTTCGTTTGTATTGGGATTGGGGGGAGGGGAGAGGGAAAGGACGAGGGTGGGAAAGAAGTTTTCTTATACGTTTCATTATTATTATTATTATCATTATTATCATTATTATCATTTTTGAAAATGAAATGAAATCGATTAGGCCATTCATCCATCCATCCATCCATCCATTAAATCTGTCAGTTTTTTAAAAATATCCAAAAAAAAAAAAAAGAAAAAGTTTCGATCGATTTTCTTTCCTTTTTTTTATGTCCTTTTTTTGTCCTTTTTTCCTTTTTTAATGCGTGTGATGGATTTAAAAAAAAAAAAAAATTTTAAATAATCGTTAGAATTTTCCAGAAGGAATTTTTTTGCCCCCCTTTTTTTTTTTAAATCCATAAAATTAAAATTTTTTTTTAATTTGAAAAAAAAAAAAAAACATGGTTACGGCTTACCTTAACGTCAGTTACAACTTTAAATAATAATCTATTACGAAATAATTGGGGAGAGGGGGAAGGGATCGGAAGAGGGCAGGATAGAGAGAGAGAGAGAAAGGGGGGGAGTGACATTAAAATAAAATAAAATAAAAAAAAATGAAAATTTAATTTATATCGAGAAGTTAAAAAAAAGGTTTTTCTTTCTTTCCTTCCTTTTTTTTTCCAATGATCCCCCTCTCTCTCTTCCTCTCCCTCCCTCCCTCACACTCTCAATCTCTCTCTTGTTGCAACAGTAAAATAAATCTTAACAATGTGCAATCAATCAAAAGGTTTTTTTTTTATTTAAAAAGAAAAAATTTTTTTTTGGGGGGTGGAAGGTTCCATGACTTGAAAATCGTAAAAAAAAAAATTAAATTCGCGTACCTTAAATTATTTTTACGCGGAATGATGATAATAATAATAATGATTAAATGATTAAATAAAAAACGATATTATTAACCGGAAACGGAAAAAGAAAGAAAAAAAAGGTTCTCGACCTTTTCAAAAAAATTATAATTAATTATAACGAGTATAAATTAAATTTAAAAATTTAAAAAAAAAAAAAAAAACGAATAATAATAATAATAATAATGAGAAAGAATTTTGGTTTTTTTTTAATAACAAAATGGCGGCCGCGTAAAATTAAAAACTTTTTTTTTTTTTAATAATTTTTTTCTTTTTTTTTTTCCTTTTCAAAAAGACGAAATGAATTATTGTCATTTTTTTTTTTTAAACCGTTAAAAAAGGTTTAATTTTTTCTCTCATAACCAACCTTTTTTTTTCTTCCGCGTATAAGATTTTCAAAAGGTTCTTTTACATTTTTTTTTTTTAACCTTTCTTTTTGAAAAGGTTGATTAATGATGGTTTTACATGAAAAGTCAATCCTTCAGTGTAATAATATTCTGGTAGTTTAACAACAATAAATATTATTTACACCGAAAACAACGAACCGCGAGTAATACTCACATCATCATCATCATCATCATCACCATCATCACTATCATCATCATCATCATCACCATCGTCATCATCATCATCATCCTCCATTTTTTTTTTTTTTTTAACAATTCACACCTATCGCCATTTTTTTTTCTTTTTTTTTAAATTTTATTAATCATCCCGATTATCATCCATTGTTAAATTATTATCATTATCATTATTATCAATTTTTTTTTATAGATTTAATAATTTACAGGCACGACGTGACAATTTAAAAAAAAAGAAAAAAAAAGGAGAGGGGGAAAAGACATTTTTCGACCCAGTAAATTTTTTTAAAAATGACGTCACATAAATTTTAAATAATTTTATTTTTTATTTTTTCTTTCCCATTGAAACTTTTTCATTATTTAAAAATGGTAAGTGTGTGCGTGTTCGAGTGCGTGGGTGGCTGGGTGCGGGGGCGCACTCGCGGGCGTACGTTCACGCATTTGGCAAAAGACGAAATTAGACTTTTAGGCAACTTAAAAAAAAAATATCTTAAAATTTTACTTATTTCCCCCGACATTTCCAAATTTTTTTTTTTTTTTGACTCTCTTAAAATCAACATAAATAAATAAATTTATGTATTTAAATTTTAAATAAATAAATAAATAAATAAAGATAAGACACCTTTGGAATACATTACAAAAAAATTAAAATAAAAAAATTAACATTAACATTAACATAATTATTATTTATATCACTATCATTATTATTAATTATTACTACTTTGTGTCACTTGAAATGCTTGCTTAATACGTTTATGATTATTATTATTATTATTACTATTATTATTATTATTATTATTATTATTATTATTATTATTATTATTTATAATATTATCATTTATAATAATAATAATTTTTTTTTTTTAATTTTTTCGTTAACGATAATATAGTTTAATTAGTGTGTTCGATTATTATTATTATTATTAATTATTAATCTTTTTTTTTAAGGGGGAGGGGAAAGGGGAGGGAGAAAGGAGTGAGGAGGGAGGGGTCATTAATATTCAATTACAAGTTAATGTAGTACGTTGATATTGTTTGGGTAGATAAAACGCTCAGTTAATTTCTAACGGTTTGTAAACGACAAAAAAAATATTAAAAAAAAAAAAATGGCTGCCAGACGTTTTGCAAATGCGCGACAAAAAAAACTATATCCCGTTTACTACGCAGCGGAACCGGAAGTTTACTTAAGCTTTTTTTTTTTTTTATTATTATAGAGAAAATTCAACTTTAAGATACAGATATCCGGCATTTGCAACAGAGACCAAACGAAATTTGTAACGGAAATTCTCAATACTTTGCCGCAAGATCATAGTAAGCTAACAAACAAACAAACAAACAAACAGACTTTTCTCATTTACAAAAAAAAAAACTAAACTGCAGATTTTAATCCCTGAAACAAAATTTTTAAAAACTAAAAAATAAAACTACAACTTCATTACGTGCAATTTATCAAGAAAACAAACAAAATTGACACCCTCAACAGCAAAACAACCCTTTTATTTTTTAAAAAATAATTATGTTGAAATCGTTAAAACTTTTAGAAAAAGTACAAAACCCAACCAACGTCCGACATTTTTAAAAAAAAACAAACAAAAAAAACAAAAACAAATCGGATTTGTCTCGGCGAAAGAAAGAGATTAGAAAACGTGCAATTAAAATACAATTATCGAATCAAGGTTGTATATTGCCTCCCATCGTATCGTTCTGCAAATCCTTCGACAACAACAACAAAAACAAAAACAAAAAATAAATAAATAATAATGATAAAAAAAAGTTGAACGGAATATAAAATTGTACCACGTGCGAGCGAGGAAACCTTAGCTTTGGAATGAGTTTTCCTTTTCTTAAGCGTGTACAACAACACGTGTGCCACCTCCAGAAAAAATTTAATAATAAACCGACAGGCCTAAGAAGTAACTACAAAGCAAAAACAAACACGTCATTATCATCAGTCTTAAATTCAACAATTCTTTTACGTACCTAGAATCGAATAAAAAAGAGAGAAAGAGAAAGAGAGAGAGAGAGGGAAAAAAGGATAAAAGGCATCATCTCAATAAGGCACCGCGTAAAATTTTATAAGGCGGTAAGTTAAACACGTCGCACGTACGCACTTTTTCTAAACCTTAAACGAATCACAATAAATATATATGTGTACGCCTATCGAAATACACAGCCTAAATTATTAAAGCTTTTTTCATTTTAAAATACCCCGTAATACGTCATCATCATCGTCGTCGTCACCATCATCTTCCACATCATCATCATCATCATCATCGTGTTGTAGTTTAGCTGCCGCGCGAAGAAATTCCAATAAAATTAAAATAAATTAAAATAAAATAAAATAATCGTTAATCATCAATCACATTTTTTCCACGTAATTCGAAGGAAACAATCCTTCTTTTCCTTTCAGACGTCCCTGCCACCAACCGCCTTCATCTGAAAAGGGGGAAATAAAAATTTTTTAACTTCCGCCACCACCGTTTAAACAACGACGACATGATGACATGATGACCTGTGGAAATTCAATGGAAAAATTGATTGAGGCAACTTACGTTCTTTGACTATCGTTATTATATCTCCGTACGTTAGGGAAAGTTCGTCCAAATCTTGAGCCACGTAATCGTACACGGCTTTGCACCTCGATAGCATGACGGGTTTGGGCTTTAGAGGAGGCCTGGGTTTCCCACCTCCGGGTATCGGTTTCTCCATCTTGGATTTGAGAATATTATCACTGTAAAATAAAAAAAATAAAAAACTCACGACATTGATTTGTTTTTTTTTTTTGGTTGGTAACAATGATAATTCGGTAACTCACTTGGTAACGGTGTTGGTATTTGTCACGTGAGCGAGTAACCCGTTCGGAATGATTTCTTTGGATTTTCCTTCGTTAAATCTTTGGTAGTTGAATTTAAATGATGATATTACAGGTTGATTGGGTGGTACGGGATCACTCGGAGGCGGTGGAGCAGCTCTTCGATATACCGGATTTGCAGTAGGAATGCTGTTGTTGTTGTTGTTGCTGTTGTTCTTGGCGAATTGTGACGATCCTTTAAATACTTGTATGTTTTTTGTTGTACTGTTTTTCTTGTGACTAGATGCTACGTTACTTTTTTCCGGAACTGAAAACATCGACAGTAAAGTAATAAATAATTTTTTTTTTTTTTTAAACAATTTTTAAATTTAATTAAAAGGAACACGCGCGCGTACCTGAAGTGTTGGGTAAACCCCTGGACACGGTAACGTTTAAAACTTTTCCCGACGATTTAAAAATTTCCAGCTCTCCTAGATTGTCGCTCTCGCTCTGTATGAAATTCACGAATCTCATTCCTCCTCCTCCTCCCCAATCTTCTTTTTTGATTTTAAATTCAAACTTGTTCGAAAACGTTATGGTTAAAGGACTTCCGACTCTCGATTCGTACTTTTTACTCAGACAATACAAAAATTCCGTTTTGAACGTGATTTCTAAAAGGCTGTCGTAACTTTCTCTCACTCGTATCACGATCAAATCATCCTTCAGCGTGCTCAGAGTAACTCCGTCAATTTTTTCCAAATCGATTTTCCTCTTTATCGTTTCCCTACACGTCTCCTTATTATTATTATTATTATTATTCCCAGATTTAACTTTGTCTCTTGTTTCGATAAGAAACAAAGTCGTTTCCGTGAGAATTAAACATCTTTGATTCGTTTTGAAATTCCTGTCGTATTTTTTAACAGTTTGCGCGAAAACGATTTTTTCTTTTCGTCCGATTAATGTCACCAACGACGGAACGTGACCCACTCCGACGTAGTCTCCCACAAAATTTCTATTCAGCGAATTTTTTCTCCTTTGTTTTTTTCCTACGACCAAATTCGAGGCTTCCAATTTTTCTTTGTCGCGCTGTCGGCGTGCGAAATGTTTTTTAAACGCTTTCTGTATGATTCGAGCATAATCGTTGTATTTCTTTTCCCGCATTTCTTCGAGCATGAAAAGCTATAAAAAAAAATGGCATAAAAGAAACGCTCTGAATTGTATTTCGTTTTTTTTTTTTGTTTTTTGTTTTTTTTAAATATTTGCGCACACTCTAATTATTTTATTATCACACCAACCAAAAGATTGAACGGATCTCACCATCTCTCTCTTCGAGAGAGACAGAGAGAGAAACGAAAACAATGAGACATTAACTACTTTTTACGATAAAATAAAAAAATAAAAAAAACGGTAAAGTTTTTTTTTTTTTAACGATCCCTTAAATTAGCCCTAATTCAATTTTAACACAATTTTCTGATGCGAAAAAACTTTTCCGCGTTTAAAAAAAAAAAAGTGGGGGGACCTTTGCGAATAGGGAAAATAAAAACGTTCGACTCAAACTCACCGTTTCGGGAGCTTTGATAAAAACTTTTGTCATTCCCAACTGATAAGATCCCAGTGGAATGTTTAATTTTTTCATGATCCATTCAACTCCAGATTTGTCATCTCCTCCCCGCCAAAAACGACCGTTTTTTGTTTCTTTGGTTAATATACCGTATCTGTAATTAAAAAAAAAAAAAGAAAAAAATTAAACCCGACGCATAAAATTAATTAATTCATCCAAAAAAAAAAAAAAAAGGGAATTTATTTAACCTGAATAAAAATTTTTGAAAAAGTCTTCGATAAGCAAATCCGGCTCTTCGCACTCTTATATTTTCCTTGAGCCCGAGATATTCGACTTGATGCCTCACGCTGGACTCCAGCCATTCTTTCGACTTTTTCGTTTCGTTCGGTTTTATGCATCTCACGTAATGAGGCCTGCAATTTTTTAATTTTTCCACGAGCGCATTTGCTTGAGTACGAATTTTATTTCCCGCCGTAGTCGGACGTGACTTTCTTCTATTGCTGCTGCTGCCGCTGCTGCGATCCTCGTGTTGAAAAAGTCTACAAAGTAATTTGCTTTCGCTCGATTGCATCAATTCCACCAAATCGGAAAATAAAACGTCGCGATTTTTATCGCAAAAACCGTGTACGTCGTAGGAAACTTTTCCCGCGTAATGATGAATTATAAAACTATCGTTTCCCTCGACGTAATGATCGTGCTGTCGGACGGCTTTATTGAGTTTCTTTTGAAAATCCAAATCAGCACCGGAGGACACGGCGTGAAGCGTGGCACACACATCGTCCAATATGCAAAATATTCCCGGTGGTTTTTTACCCTCGATCAATTCGCAAACGATTTTATTATTGAAATAATGAATCGGAGTCCATTCGATTTTTTCCGCGGCGTATTCTTCCTAAAATTAATATGCGATAAAAAAATAGAAAGAAATAAATAAAGAGAAGTAAAAAAAAAAAAAAAAAATCGATTTCCAACCGGATGCGAAACATTTCGAAAGTGAAAAAAAAAAAAATTAATTTGCAAAAATAACCGAAACGAACGAATCAACCGACCGTAGTTAACCTTATAAGAAAAAAAAAAAAAAAAAAACTACAATTATCACTACTTTTAATTTACAATCTACAAATTAATTATTATTAATGTGACGTAACGGATTCCGCTCTTTGATCGAATTGAATTTTAATTTTTTTCCTTTTAACAAAAAAAATTTCAAATTTACTCCAAAAAAAAAAAAAAAAAAAAAAAAAAACCTTGACTGCGTACATGTGCGTGAGTGAGTGCGTGTGATTCTTTCATTATGTAATCATTTCTTTTTTGCTCTACTTGAGTAAAAAAAAAAAAAAAAAATTCTCCATTTTACTAATATAAAAAAAAAAACTTTTACACTTTCGTTTTTTCTTTCTTTCTTTCTTTTTAATTTAATAGGCGGTGACCACTAATGACCAACAACAAAAAATGGCAAACAATTTACTTTGGTAAAACGTCATCATCATCATATTTTATTTTGCATTTCGCGATACGCTCTTCGATTAAATTGCAATTGAATTTTAATATATTAACCGTGTCGCCATCGAGAAATTTCCATCCGAAGACGAAGACGAAGAGAGAGAGAGAGAGAGAGAGAGAGAGAGAGAAAGAGAAAGAGAGAAAATAATAGGAAAAAAAAGGATTCTTTTCTTTTCAACTCCCCCGTAGACCATAGATAGATAAACTAAACGGTTTTTTTTTTTTTTACTCAATTTCTACTTTCACTCTCTATGACATAAAATGAAAAATGCAAAGAAATTTACCTTTTTTTTCTCTTTTTTTTTTTTTATCATCATTATTTCTCAAAACAAAATAGAAAATTAAAATTTTTTTTTACAAAGAGTAAAAGTACCTCATCGTTTTATTATTTGTCGTTCGTTCTTCACGCTTCACCACATTACACGACAAGTCGAAAATTAAAAAATAAGGGAGGAGGAGGAGGAAGGGTATTTAAGGGAGGCGTTACTCATATTCCCAAAACCTCCATATTAATAATAATAATGATAATTAAATAAAACTCAAACGTAAATTACATTCAAAGTTAAAATTAATTCCCATTAACTTTTTCCTTTTTTTTTTTTTTTTTTTTTTTTTTTTTTTAATCAACGCGAAATGATTACAGACGTTTTTGTATTACAAGTTCCGCGGCGCGAAACGCTTTTTACTAAAGTATACATCTTAATTACGATACACTCCATTATCTATTGATAATGATAATGCATACAACACGTGTGCACGTGTACAAATTTTAAAACCTCCGAACGTGTAAAATCATAACAAAAAAAAAAAAAAGAAAACTCTCTTTAAATTTAATTTTTCTGTTTTGTTTTCCATGTCGTAGAATCGTCAGGTAAAAAAGGAAAAGAGAGAGAGAGAGAGAAAGAGAGAAAGACAAAGAAAAGAATAGGGAAGAAAAACATTTAATGAGCGAATAATAATGATGATTCGGTGAAAGTTTAAAAATATTTAAAAATAAAAAATAAAAATTTTTTTTTGTTTTCGCTCGCTTGCTGTGCTACCATTTTTTTTTTTCTTTTGTTTAAAATGAAATTACCGATTAGCGCCTTAAAGAGTCTCGCGGTTGACTCAAATAATAATAATAATAATAATAATAATAATAATAATAAGCCAACGGCCATAGCGTGCTGGTCACACCGGTTCCCGTACGATCACCGAAGTTAAGCAGCATCGGGCGTGGTGCAAACTTGGATGGGTGACCGTTTGAGAACGCCACGTGCTGTTGGCTTAAAAAGAGCAAAAAAAAAATGAGAACAAGACAAAGTAAGAACCAAAAACAAAATCTTGTTCTACTGTCGACCTGAGGCAGCTCGACGAGAATGTGAATTTCACTGCTTCTGACCCTGGCCACTCCAAAGATGTTAGTCACCGGAGCCCAGTTCAGGAGACAAATCGTTCCCATCGAAAAAGACGGACTCAGGAAGACCTTCAAGAATTGATGTGGTGCTATCTTATAATAAGTGGCACCACCGAAATTCGAGTATTTGTCCCTAAGGAATCGGGTAGAAACCTCGGATAAATACTTAAAAACTCCGACAAGTAGCCTTGTCGTGTTTAATGGTGGATAATAATAATAATAATAATAATTATTATTATTATTATTATTATTATTATAACAAGACAAATAAGAGCCTTGTCGTGTTTAATAGTGGACATAATAATAATAATAATAATAATAATAATAATAATAATAATAATAATAATTATTATTATTATTATTATTATTATTATTAGTTATTTTCGAACATTTTTTTCCAAAGTTTTAATTGGCCCATTTCCTTAAATTTTTGAACTCCAAAAAAAAAAAAACAACAAATGAAGATGCGATGCGATTATACGTCATTTTTTGATCGATTTCGTTCCGCTAAATAAAACAAGTAAAACAAACAATAGAAAACAAAAACAAAAACAATAACAAACAACAACAACTTTAAAATTATACACGGGTTACAGTTTTTCGGCACAGTTATAATAATTGTAAATCGACTGATGACTGACTTGATTTTTTTTCCCTTCTTCTTATTGTTTTTTTTTAAACAATAAATAATCGTGTAAATAATAATAATAATAATATTAATAATAATAATATTAATAATAATATTAATAATAATAATAATAATAATAATAATTTTATAATTACAACAGTAATAAGTTCGCGTTCACACACATTACCGGTAAAAACAAACACAAAAAAAAAAAAGAAAACAAAAAATTAGCTTTGAAGGGCAATGAAACGTCATTTAAACGATATCGTGAGAAAAGCGTTTGAAAGCGGGGGAAGAGGGGATCAGGAGAAAAGGGAACCACAGTTTTTAAAAAAGAAAATACACAAAAAAAAAAAATTCGGTTTCTTTTACATCTTCAACTTTGCACCCATTAAAAATTATGATGCGAACGTTACATATTTGATAATATGATTTCACTTGCCAATCAAATTTCACTTAATTATTTTCGAGTTTGAAATAAAAATCTTTGCAGCACGCGCACGCACGCACGCACACGCACACACACATGCGAAAAATGATAAAAGAGAATCGATCGGAATGAACGGGTTTTTTTGCGTATCACATATCAGGCGGAAATGTTAGGTGAAAAATTACCTGGAATTGGGAGAAGGTCAGTCGCATAAGGAGTGTAAAAGTGTGTGTGTGTGTGTGTGTGTGTGCATGTGCGTGCGGTTGATCGCAAAAGCGAAAGGGAAAACGTCTGAAAAAACCATAAATGGTAATTTTTTTTTTAAATAAAGAAACGAATAACGTCCTTGCGTTCTTTTTTTTCTAGCAAAAACCTGGAGAAAGGAAAGAGAAATCGTTAAAATAATATTTAAAAAAAAAAAAATTTTCGAACGTAACGGAAATAGAATGAAAACGAACGTATAAAAAAATGAAAACGAACATGAATGAAAACGAACATCCATAAAAATGCTTCTTTTTTTTTTTTTTTTTTTGGCGACAATCGAAAGTGAAAAAACAAAAAAAAAATTTGTCGAGGAAGTTAAAACTTCGACAACCGCGCATTCGATTTTTAAAAAGAATTTCGTCGACTGCTCGCCAAAAATTTTAACCGGAAACAAAAGAAAAAAAAAAAAATTCCTTTGATTTCTTTAATGACCTGGCGCAATGATGAAAAAAAAAAAAAAACGTCTTCGACCATCATTTCCGTTTAATCACGTGATCTTCAAACAATTTTTTTTTTTTTTTCGGTTGGCTACAGGAAATAAACGATCGAACGACAGTCAATCGATAGAGTTTTAAAAAAATGATGATAAATAAATTACGATTTGCAAAATTTTTCGATTGCCATGCCCCCCGCCTTCCCCCAGCCCCCCGTCACGCAATGAATATTCAAAACTTTACAAAAAAAAAAAAAAATCAAATAATGACTTTACGCGAAAACTATTACTCACGTGTTTTTGTTAAAAAGTAAAAGTCCTACTACGAAAGCAGTGAAAAAAAAAACATTCGAAATCAATCACCTTTGCAAGAGAGAGAGGCAGAGAGACATAGAGAAAGAAAGAGAGATAGAGATAGAAAACGTAAAAGAGGAAATGAATTCATTACACGTTACACGAATTAAAAAAAAAAAAGGGAAGCAAAGGACGTGAGGGCAAGGACACTCAAAAAGCGATTACCGAAGAGAAATTCTAGAAAATCGGTGAACCCCGACAGAGAGAGAAAGATGGGGGGGGCCTTATCGAACCCCATTGAACACGCTCTCGTGTGCACTTCCCTACCGAGAATTTCCCAATATTCTCTAGTGTAACAAATATATAATAATAATTGCAAAAAGAAACACAAAATCCATGTTCAACTTCGCGCCGCAAATTATTAATTTTTAAATTTTCAAAATGGCCGCGTTTATTGTTATTGTTAACATATTTACATTTTCGTAACTTCCTCGAATTCATACGAAAGATAATAATAATAATAATAATAATAATAATAATACATTATTTTTCAATCGATGATCAAATCAACTCGGCGAATAACAACCGATTTCATTTTTTTTTTCTATTTTTCCTACTCGTTACCCATTTTGTTTGTTTTTTTTTTTTTTAACGAAATAATAAAGAAAACCAAATATCTAGACCGGATAACATAGAGAGAGAGAAAGAGAGAAATGGTGAAAATGTAATAATAATAATAATCGCTGGAGAAACTAACACGGTTACTCCTCACTAAATAATCTTTTAAAATTTTTACTTTTATTTTTTTTTATTAAATGGGACAAAAAAAAAAAAAAATTGTTTCGAACGTTTGTTTGTTAACATTAACTTATACATTCTCCGTTCTTGTGCGTGCACGTGTGTGCGTGTGTGCGTGCACGAATTAAATCCACCGGTTGAACTCG